TTCCCACCGACCTCGCTGCCCCCCTCCGCTCCCCCCCGGCCTGTCTTGCCTCCCGCCCGCCGCCATCCCGCCCGCCTCCCTCCCACGACTGCCCTGCCTGCCAGGGCGAGGGGCAGTCTTGTCGCAGAGGCGGGGGGTGCGAGGCGCGGGCCGCCCCAGCATAGGGGCCTCCTCCTCGGCTTTCCCATTCCTCCCCCGCGCCCCCGGCACTCCAGTGCTCCGGGGCGCTTCCCCCCCGGGCACGCGCTCCGTGCCACGACCTGCGCTCTCCGCCCGCTTCTCCAGCCTTGTGGCGTGGCTGAGGCGAGAAGCCATCCGAGGGGAGAGGAGGGGCTGTCGGTGGATGTGGGCGCCAGGCCTAGAGCGGGGAGACAAGGCAGGGGGGAGGGCAATGAGCTAACCCAGGACACGGACGGCAAGGCGCAGGCGCAGAGAAGAAGCGGGTCAAAGCGGTGTCAGAAGAGGTGAAATATTGTATGAACATCACGGTGTGTGTTCAGGTGGGTTTCCTAAAAAGGTTTCTTCATCATGTCAACCAAGCTGGCTCGAGGGACTGAGAAAAACAGGCAAGACACAGTCCACGCATCAATTTAAAAACTACCTCCGACGTACCCCTGCATTGTTTCCTCCTGTCGAATGTCTGGTGTCTCCTGCATCAGCCGCCACCAGGACTCCCGCCCTCGTAAAGCCTGTGAGCAACCCCACGAGGCCGACGGGCAACAAGAAGGCCCTTACAGCCACATGGCTCCGTCCTCCCAACGGCCTTTTCCTTCCCTTCCGCGGCGAGCATCCATGAGGCGGAGAACTTTGTGCGCAGTGATGCTGCATGACGACGCTGGATAATGGTGCTTGAGGGCTACGCTTTCTCCCTTGCTAGAGCGCCAGGGTGATGTTGGGGAGCGTTTCTTGGGTAAAAAGGGATGGGGACGAAGGAGTGGCGAGGGCATACACAGCCCACTTAATAAGAAGTGCGATGCAGGACTGTCCTCTTGTGCCTGTCACGTTTGCGTGTCCTTTACCCTGATAACCCGTTAATTCATGCACTTAAGCCAAGGGCTGGCGTCCCTCGCTGGGATGTCGGTCACCAAGGCAACCCCTCGCCGGGGAGGACGATTTCCCCCGTCCCTGCCGCATATACCGCACGCGGACAGTCCCGTCGTCTACAGGCTATTTCCACTTCACCAGCTTATTGTGTACATGTCAACGAAATTTGAAACCCTCCTCTCTAGGCAGTGAGGGAGTGATGTACGCGCACCAATTCCGGATTGCGTCCCGCGTTGGCCTAGGGCTGGGGGTAGCAGCTCTGGTGAGGAGCAACAGCAACAGCAACAGCACCACAATCTCCAAGCCCACGCGCTGTGAGACCGCGCAGCACCAGCAGCAGCTCCGACGACCATCAAGTCAACAACAAACATATTTTGACCACGCATTAGACGACCGCGAAAAGGACACGGCGGGCTTTGTGGGAGTTTTTCTGGACGCGGCCTCAGTGAAGCGCGTGCAAAATGCCGTGGGGGGCTCCCTGGGCCGAAACGCTCATGCCTTGGTCCAGTTACATCCTGAACCTGGGGTAAAGCGGTCATTTGCCCCCTTATTTGGCAGCAAGGTACGAAGGTTCTAGGATAAAGTGCTGTTTTATGGTACTCTTGAGATTGATGGACTCACCCATCCTCTCTCTTCCCTTTGCACACGTGATAGGCCGAGGTAGTGGTAAGAGGCGTGGCTGAAGACGTGTCCACACGCCAAAAGGTTATTATCGTCGATGTTAACGTGGGTGGAGGTCGCCTGTACCCCTCCAGAAACGGCCACGGGAGCATTCCCACAATAGCCATGGCCTCGGAGAGCTGGGACGATGACGTGGCGGATCTATTGGGCGTGGATCTGGCGCGTCGACTCCTAGAGAACGGAATATTGCACGCAAAGGGATCCTGGGACGGCGTGCTCCCAGGTCAACTTTTGGACGGGATCAAATATCCGCCTACGCGAGCCGTCTTCCAGGAGCTCGACGCACCCGTCGCTTGTGAAGGCACGATCTGCGCGTCCACAGACTACGATAAGCAGTCGGATAAGTGCATAATTCGAGCCGATACAGCATCGGGAATGGCGGAAAAAAGCCAGGACGAGGCGGAGGAGGTAGAAGGCGAATGCCCCCTGTGCACGTACATGATGAACAGTCCCTGCAAGGATGTCTTTGTGGTGTTCAAGTCCTGCATCGATAAAGCTGGCAGCACTGACGAGCGAGAGGATCTGACACGCTGTGAAGCATCGGCGGCCTTTGTCCATGAGTGTATCCAAAATTTTGGACTTTTCCGAGAGCATCTGCAGGAAGAGGCTGAGGAGGCAGCTGAGATATCAGATGAGGGGAAGGCGTGAGCCATTGAGAAGGACACGGCGGCACACATTGGTGGGAGAGAGAGAATTTCTAGCAAGTAACAAAGAGTCATAGAAATTCAAAACTCTCGCCACGGACTTTAGAGGGTTCGGTTTGTGATGAGACATTTTTACAGGTACAGGATTTGTGGGGTAGTGCTTAATGCACGGAATAAGTCCTCACTGCCGAGCTGCGTAAGACGTGGCGAAAAAAGATGGGACCCTTGAAGAGGGCGTGTAGATAGCATGTGAGATTGACTATTGTAGGGTTTCGGTGTAAATGTGTGGTGTGTGGTAGAGAGGTAGGCAAAGAACGGAAACGGGTTTGGACAGGATGTCCGAGCCCGCCACGTACTGACGAACAGCTCTGCTGCTATTTTTGTTGTCTTTTTGCTTGGTGGTCCTTTGTAGGGATGTACAGGGCTATTTGTGTATGCATCGGTCCTCTATACTTCATTGCTGTGACACAAGTATATTTCACCAAGGAGAGCCCATCTATCTGTCTCGTGTGGGCAGCTCAGCTCTAGCCTCCTTGGTTGCTCGCTTTCACACCGTGCCACCCACAACGTGATGGCTTGAACATAGTCAACGCTGGTAGACAAACGCTCTGCGCATAAAGATCTCATTTATCTCTGTTCCTATATCACCGTAATATCCATTCAAACATCTATGTGCATGCCTACGTGTTGCCTGTCGGGGAGGCCAGATCATGAATTTCGGCCTCTTTCTCTTCGCGATACTGCCCTTTCCGGCTTGCGCCTTCTTCACAGCCCCCGCTGTGACGCAAAGCCGAGTAGGTTCCACGGTTCTCCGAGCAATTCATGAGGTACATGACGTCTCCACTCGACAGCAGCATCTAAGTAGCACCTTTCAATCTTTAGTCTTGGCTGGCTTGGGTACCACAGCCGGGATTGCTCTGAGCACGGCGCCGGCGAATGCGGCAACCAAGGTCGAATACTTGAAAGAGCCTACTCCTGAATTCGAGGTAAGCTTATAGGGGCCGTAGTGCTTAATTCTGCTTTCTGAAAGCAACTTCAGGAATTCGGAGGCGCTCTTGTCGGGCAATTACTTCAGTCGCTGCTATCGGCCTGGTTCCGCTTGAGGTCCTTTTAGAGCACGCAACTTCGTTTTTTCAACTATGTACAAGGCGTCGCAAATGCCCCTGTCCTCACGCAAACGATTTTATCTTCCCTAAGGAAATGCAAAAACGCGCGATGGCATTCGAGAGAGCGGCGCTTGAAAAGAAGAAGGTATGGAAAGACAAATATGCGGTGTTGCCGCAGGCCAAGACAGAGCAAGAGCTTGTCGCAGCTTTGGATGGGCTCACAAAGTTTGTTCTTGAAGAACGCGGTCTTCCTGTTGGTATCAAAATGCAGGTACGTACAGCTTTAATCGAAAGGACTGCTAGAAATCACAAGGGAAGAGGCGCCCTTGGATCCATGGACTCACGCGTAGCATGTCTTTATCACGGACAGACACTAGTGAGCGATATTCGCAAAGTGAAGAGGGCAGGGAAAGATGCGAAAATCTGGAATAAAGAAGCTGAGATTTCCTACGAGAAATTGATTTACGCAATCAATTACCAGCAAAGCCCCAACACAAGTCGAGACTTGACCAACCCTCTTTGAAGCGGTTATGACGAGTCAATTAGAAAATGGATTACCATTACTATAGATTTACGGAAGTGAATGCAAGAACGTGATATCTGCATTCAGGCCTGTTTGGGTGGGATAGGATGCTGAACTGCTATAAGGCAAAAGAAGAAAGCGAGTCACAGTGATACATAGCAATCTCTGAATGTTTTTTTTTAAAAGAAAAGGCTTAAGGCACATACTTGTCTTCCAGTAACTTTTTCCCTATTCCGCTCAAATAGGTCCCATTCCGTCGAAAGGCAGGCGGGGCTCGGAAGCCTACTAGGGTGTCACTGCACTCGTTTGTCACAGGGCATACCGGTAGGTTAGAAGGGCTCCCATTGTGCTTTTTCTCCTCAAATACATCCTTAGAAAGCCCATGCTGCTGCTTTTCAAATCTTCTAGGACGCAATTTAAGAGGGTTCATGACGTCCCGTGGTGTGGGCTGATTTGTTGCAAAAGCCTCGTAGCTCGTTTTCCAGCTCGAGTTCTTATCACACTCTTGACGACAGATCGCGAAAGTGGAGGCAGAAACTGAGGAATTGGATGCTCGTCTTTTATAAGAAGACGTAACGGACGGAGGGATGGGATGTTTTCCTGTACCCAGGCTGCCGCCACCTGTCAACCCACCAACAGGGTGTGCTACAAGGACTGAGCTCTGCGTCATGGGAAAATGTACTTTACTGCCCCTTTTCTTCACAAGACCTGCCCAATCTGCCGCTGGATCGTTTGGAATATAAACTACGTCATCGTAAGACGGTGCAGTTATTGAATCAGTGTCCTCTGCGGTGGCCAAAAATTGAGCTCTGGCGTTCACAAGCTCTCGTCCATATGGATCAAAGGCATGCTCGCCTTCTTTTTGCCAAAAACTCTAAGCATATCGATGTATACAGCGGTATTAAAAATAGGTTACAGTAGAGAAAGAAACAAAAATAAATACGGGTCCATCATATGCTCGTCTTGGACACATACATTTGTATGTTGGGGGGGGGGAAATGAGCCGCGGTACGTACCCTTTCCATTTCAGCTCTGAATGCCTAAGTTGAGTAATGAAATAATCTGCTTTAAAAAATATGCCGAGCGATTGGATCTGTTTCTGTGCAATGTGCAGGTAAAATTGGTTGCTTTTGGTAAAGCGTGTGGGGGTAACGGCCGCCGATGGAGCGAGCGGCGACGAGGGAATGCGTCGCGGGTTGAGATCCACGGAAGGAGGGGGGGGGGGGGGGTTCACTTGCACCATTTTTACGTCGATTTTCTGGGTTATATTGTCGATTTCACAGCTAGTATTCATCCATGTACTGATTTGCTCGCGTTAAACTACATTTCGATACAACTGTGCTGTCCAGTGGCAGGTGCATTAAAATTCCAAGATACTTGAAGCTTTTCCACCTGAAAGCCTTCCTGACACTCGCATAAACCAACAAAAAGACGTATCTCCTCCACTGGGAAATATGAAGCTGCGTGCCTTGACCAGCTTAGTCTCCTGCTCCCTTGTCCAGGCATTCTTGGTGCCTGTTGCGCCTGGCATGGGTAGACCTCGGGAGCCACTACGGCCCTCCTCAGCCGTCCTCGCTTCAGCATCGGAGCCTGTCGTGGAGGCTCTGGCAGGGAGGAAGCCTGAGTACATTTTGATGGAGGACGGACACGGACGAAGCATAAACACGACGATGATTGCATACTTGCGGCAGGACGGAAAGCGATATTGTTTGGGCACGCCAGTGGACTGCCCCATGGTGCTCATGGATTCAGGGGGTCGGCCCATCGACCCCTCAAGTGCATTGGCTGAGGGCATGTTCTATCAATTGGATGATTACTTCACCAATAAGGGCTATGAGATTCTACACACCGCTGGATTCTTGACTATCGCGGGGGAGCCTGACTGGTTTGATGACGAGGAGTTGGAGGAAGGGGAGGAGGAGGAGGACAGTGACGACGAGTACGACAGCGAGGAGGAAGATGATGAAAGAGAAGAGGCAGCGACGGCGCAGATGGCGCGTCAAGAAGCAGCACGCAAGGATGACAGCGTCCGGGTGGATCCTATCTGTGACGTGGAATACGATGGCTCCATGTACCGCATTGTGCAGCTCTTAGACCGGGTTCCCCTGAGTGCCGAGGAGGACGCGGAGGGCAAATGGGTACTTGTGAACGATGCGGACACCCATCTGGGGCTGGAGAAGAGGGCAAAGAAATGAGTGACAAAGGAGAAGTGTTGTGGGCTGTCTCGATTATGGTGTCTGTGAGAGAAGATGGTTTGGGCCGGCATGCACGAATTTCCCCGTGAGCGCAGGCATCGTCACGTGTGAGGGGTCTTCCATGGCACTGAGGGTCAGTGTGCCCGTCGCTGAGGGGTTAATTAAAGCATGGAGACGCCCCGGCGTGGCAGTTTGACAGATTCGACGTGTCAATCAATCTCAAGGAACACCACAATATTTGTCGAGCCCAGCCACTGCCTCTTGTTGTCACGCAGACAGTACTCCCATGCACTCCTCTCGTTTGGAGTCTGGTCTTTTTCGCTGCATTTCTTTCGTCAAATTATCCGCTCCAGCTCCCACCCCTCCGGGCTCAGCGCGCGGCCCCTCCCGCCCTTTCTCCAAGCTCTCACATGCGCTTGAACGAATCGATGAAGCGCGCTAGCCCCGACAGCACGCCTCGGTTCTCGCCTCCCTCCATGTCGGCGGCGTCTCGGATGTCTTCCATCTCATCCAGGGACGGGAAACGGCCCACAGTCTTCAGGA